AAAAATTATGATACGGTATATAAAAAGGTAGGGTAAATGATAAAATAAAATTATTTAATAATAATGAAGGGTGAGATTTAGAGAAAAACACAAGGAAACGACGCGACCACACCAAATCGGTCGTTACATAAAGTGGCACATTTCATCGTTACGTAACGACGGATTTAACGAAACGATACAATAAAATTTAAGTAACAATCAAAACAAACATTGTATTTAAAGTAACAATACGATACGATACAATAGGTAACAACCATCCAAACAAGTTGTAAGTTTCACAATATAAACAATTGATATACATAGCAGGAATTTAAACAGTTATTTCTTTTTCCATTACCTTAATGCTCTTTTCCCTTCCTTTTTTTATCTCCCGGAGCAGCCACTCAAGAAGAACTAGTGCTGTACTTCAGTAATGCCATCATTCACTGACCCACCAGATTGTGTCTTCTTCCCGTATAATCATTTTTTCTCTAAAGGATTAAAAAAAAAAGGGTGGGGTGGGGGTGGGGGGGAGGGGGACAGCCCAGTGCATAAAATATAGGAAAACTTACACAAATGTCCCATATAACTTTCAACTTACCAACCTTTAGTCATTAGTCATAAACTTAACAAAACTAGCCAAGCACATATAAATTGAAAAACTAAATAAATAAGGTTCTTTATCTCAAAGAATCACATGCAAAAATCTCCTTCCATATTTTTAAGCGTGATTAGCAACATTAGATGCAAGATGAAAAGGAAATTTCATGGATGAGATAGCAAATAAGATAATGAAATACAAAAAAAAAAAATACAATATTTCAAAAGTCTAAGCAAAAAAGGAATTTTTTTCAATGGGTATAGTTGAAATTCACTGAAAACATATAGATAAGTCAGTATACAAAATTTGAGGAAGATTGGAGGTGATTTGGACTGATTTTGTATCAAAATTCATAATTAAATCGAGTTCAAAAAAGTTCTTCTGCGACACATGTATCAAAAATGTATCACGCATGTATCTCACACACAGGTATACATGAATATACATGTGATACATAATTGATACAAATATGATACACAGTGTGATACACATATCATTTTTTTTCATGTTCGAGTTTTACTTCGAATTTTCAATTCAAACCACCTCAAAACTTCACCAAATCATCCCAAAACTGAGATTTGAACATTTTAAGATGTATCCAATCTATTCTAATAACACCCACTCAAAAAAAAGCAAAAAATTGACCTAATTTTGCTACAAATAGCTAATTGGCTAATATTAGTAATATTTCATGAATTGGCTAATTTTTGTAATGAGCTACTTATAAATAGACATAGCTGGTAATTTCCCTAAAATATATCGCGTTCAGGCAGGAGACTAGGGGAAGGGCCCATCCTGCAAGAGTGTGTGATGTAAGCAACCTATTGAACGCAGCAAGGTCCTAGGGCCCATCTAAGGGGATGTGGTGTAAGTAGCTTACCCTGATGTAAGGATCATCATTTTTACAGCTCAAATCTATTACCTTTAGGTCACATGAAAATAATTTTATCATTGTTTCAAGACTTCCTTTCTCGCTAGACAAAACATACCACGTTTAGGTAGGCTTAGGGTAAGGGCCCATCCAAGGGTGTGTGATGTAATTAAGCAGCCTACTGAACACAAGGTTAGGGAAAGGGCTCATCCAAGGGGTATGGCATATGTTACCTACCATGATTACTGATTGATTTTATGGCTCGAACTCATAACTTTTAGGGGTCATTTGGTAGGGTGCATAAAAATAATGCTGAATAGGGTGTATTAGTTATGCTGGTATTAGTTATGCTGACATATTTCTTATCCATTGTTTGGTTTGATGTATTAAAGCATTGCACAGTTTCTAAAAGAATTGCTTGTTTACAAAAATGCCCTCAAACCAGTCCATCACTCTAACTTTTTAAAAGAAACATATGTTGAGAAATGTTTTTATATGAAAAAGTTTAAAAAAAATTATTTGATTTGTCTATCTATATTATAATATAGAACTAAATATTTATTTATAAAAAATATATGCTAAGTATTTATTTGTTTACTAGAGATATAATTTTATTTCTCAATATTTGAATTATTTTAAACTTGCATTAATATAATAACTAGCATATTTTAATCAAGCATAAATTTTGAAGGGCAATTTTGTCTTTAACTAAGCTAATGCATGCATTAAAACCCATTGCATTACTAATACCATGGTTTTCTATACATTAGTTATGCATAGGATAATACCAAATAGGATGTATAACTAATGCTTGCATAACTAATGCATAGGTTCAAAATGTCTACCAAACAAGGTATTATTAATACACAAAGCTAATGCATGCATTATTTTATCTAATACATCCTACCAAACGACCCCTTAAGGTTACACAAAGATAATTTTACTATTGCTCCAAGGTTTTCTCGCTCGCTAGCCAAAGTATATTGGACAATAACATGGTTGTACAAGTGGTTTAGGAAATATTTGCCTAAAAGAAAAGTGATTACTAAAAGTTGCAATGTTTCATTTTAAGAAAACTTAATTTATTGAAATTTTGATCTTGTCATAAAGTTATAGTTAAACTTAAGCGCGATATGAGTCTAACCAAGCTTTTTACTGTTTGAGTCAGAGGCAAGTCGAGCTTACAATTTAGTCAAGTATGAGCTTGGCGAGAGTTGACTCTTTTCTACTAAAATTTAAATTGAACCTCACAGAAACGGCAGTTGGGTGCACAAAGCATCCCGCATTCATGAAGGGTTCGGGGAAGAGCCGCACCCAAGGGGTGTGATGTAGTCAACCTATCCTAATGCAAGCATTAATGTCTGCTTTCACAGCTCGAATTCATAACTTATACATTACACAGAGACAAATTTACTGTTGCTCCAAGGCTACCCATCCGGTCATATTACCATTCAAAAAAATTCCTTTCTCTTTACATAATTTAAAGAACTCTCTCCATGTTTAACGTTTTTTTCTTTTTTTTTTTTTTTGTAATTTTAGGGCTTTACCCCAAAGGGAAGCCCTTTCAAAAATTCTCAATGGCCAGGGCAGAACCCAGGCCAAAGAGGGGGTTTGAAAATAGTTTTCAACCAGCAATAGACGTGCCTCGGTTAGAACCTCACTAGCTGCGTCATCGCCCCAAGCGCAAAGATTCTCCATGTTCAACGTCATAAAACTATCTTCATTTGTAATGTATAATATTATGTTCATTTTCCTTATTTTGATTTTTTTGACAATTGTTTAATTTTAACCTGCTTATGATAAACACATATAATTTAATCTAATTTATCCTTTTCTAATATTATAATCACTTAGTAGTTACAGATATAAATATCTTCTTTCATATATATATATATATATATATATATATATATATATATAATATATATATATATATATTATATATATATATATTAGTCTTGAAAAAGCATTTAAGAAGGACAACCACTGACTTGAAGAGTGAATGCAGAATCAAAAGATTTGGATACTCTAGAACAATTTTCAAAATAAATATCCATAAAATCAATAATAATAAGGAAAATAATGAAAAATGATAAATTAATCATTTTGTAAATCTTTTGCACAAATTATAAGTAATTTAAAAGAAGTTGTTACAAGGAAAAAAAACGCAAGGAAGGTGAGTGTAATACTACAAACCACAAAGGAAGTTAGTGTTCAGGGGCGGATTTAGAGGGGCGGAAGGAGGTTCACCTGAACCCCCTTCGCCTAAAAATTATATTGTATATATAAGGCAAAATTTTTACCCCTATATATTAAGTTTTGATCTCCCTTAACACAACCCAGAAATGTAGTTTAGTGGTCAAGGGGGTTCAAAATCTTCTTCAGGTCATATGTTCAATTCCCACTAGCTACAAAAAAAAAAAAAATTTGAACCCCCTTCGTGGAGATCCTGCCTCCGACACTGCTAGTGTTATGCCGTTAAATTTACGTGAGGTATCCAAGATTATTCTTTTTTTTTTTTTTTTTTTTT